ATCCCCCCCCCCCCATCAGACCGATTCTTACCCACGCGTGAGGGGCTTGCGGGAAGGTAATGGAAGATACCACCCACCCTCCACTGGACCCATTCTTTTTTACCCCTGCTCAAGAGGGCAGGCAGTGGCGGAACTGTCTCATTTCGTGGGGGATTCCTAAAGGGTGCATCATGTGACTGCTGCTGCCGTCTTGGCGGCGTGGTTGTGAAAAGGTACATCACATCACGTCATGAGACCGATTCTGTGGTGGAAGCGATGCTGTGGTGGAAGGCACATCATGTCACGCGGAGGATGAGTCAAGTGAGCTTTTCCTTGCGAAGCGGTCGGTCGGTCCAGTGGAGGGAAACGAAGCCCCCGCTGACGTTCCGTCGAACTGCCCCTCCGGCCCCCCCACGTGGACCCGTGCGGGAGATGGATGGGGGTCTGACGTAGGCGTGGGCCGGGATCGTCTTTGACGATTGCGAGTGTGTGGGTACGAAGAGTCGAGGAAAGGTTTGATGATCAGGCTTACTTTGGTGGGGCTCATTGCCGGCAATTGCTGCTCGCGTGAGTGTTCGTGTAAGGGATGTCGACACTACGGGTGTTGACTGGAGGATAAGGCTTACACTTTGGCCGGAGTAGTGGGGGTTCGCGTGAATATGGTTCTTTCGATGAAAGGGTTGAATGAGGATTACTTCGGCGCGATTATTGCTGGTGATGCTGCTCGCGAGAGTGAGTGGTCCGCGTATGGGAAGTCTATAAAAAGGGTGCTTATTATGGGATAAGGTTTACTTGCACTTTGGCCAGAGTAGTGGGCGTTCGCGTTAATATGGACGTTCGACGAAAGGGCTGCTAAAGGATTACTTCGGCGTGGCTGGTTATTGTTTGCTGCTCGCGCGAGTGTTCCGCGTATGGGAAGTCGACAACAAGGGTATTGATTGGGGGATTAGGCTTGCGCTTGGGCTGGATTCACTGCTGATGGTTGCTACTCGGGTGGGCGTTCGCGCTAGGAGATTCGACGTGGGAGTTTTGGCGTGATGCATATCTGCTGCTTGATGCATATCTGCTGCTTGATGCATTTCTGCTGCTTGATGCATTTCTGCTGCTTGATGCATTTCTGCTGATTGATGCATATCTGCTGCTTGATTCATTTCTGCTGATTGATTCATTTCGGCTGATAGATGCATTTCTGCTGATTGATGCATTTCGGCTGCTTGGTTCATTTCTCCTGATTGATGCATTTCTGCTGATTGATTCATTTCGGCTGATAGTTGCATTTCTGCTGATTGATACATTTCTGCTGATTGATGCCCGCGAGAAGGGAGTGCTCGCGTACTAATTGAGTTGACAAAAGGGTGTAGCGCCGCAGCACCGGATTCGCCCATACCTTTCTCGACGATTTTTTTGTCGACCGCATTGTGTGTGTTGTGTGTGTGTGTTTTTTTTTTTTTTTTG